CTTTCTAGTTTATAACTATAAAAAGATAAAATTAAAATCAACCAAAGATTAGAGGTGCAGAAGATAGAAGAAGAATCCTCAGGATAGATCTTCTCTTTGTGCTCTGCCAGGGGAGCTGTGTGAATACTGTTTTCTTCTGTCAATCATGTGTGATAAACACATAGATTGGAGCCAACTATGAAAACTCACCAGGCTTTGGTATCTAAAACTCTTAATGGGCCTCAGTCAAACATTCATTTGATGAACTACCTGATATATGTCTGACTATGATCTTTCAGAGGAACAGTTGATGGTATTGGCCCAAGTCACTTCACCAGAAATCATACTTTATCACAGACTGCGTAACATGGATCAAAGATCCCAAGAAAACTGGACTTTTTTTTTAATCAGGCAAGACATTCCAAGGCCTGTAAATTCAAGCCTTAGAGCCACTGAAGAACACACAAAGTAACTGAAAGCAAACTAATGATGGTTTGAACTTGGGACTTGTGCACTTAACAATGAGCCACATAGAAGAGAAAGATTGACATTTGTTCTTTAGTGGCTCTAACATACTAGTTCATCAAAAAGTTTGTGCTTACTTACATTGTTTGATCACATTTTCATGTCTATATCTTCTAATCTGAGCAGCTACTTTGAAGACAATAATATGCAATATATTAACCATTGTTAATTTCTTATCATCTTGTTTTGAAATTGTGTCATAATTTTTATTTTTTTTAAAAAACAAAGAACAAATGTCAATCTTCCTCTTCTATGTGGCTCATTGTTAAGTGCACAAGTCCGAAGTTCAAACCATCATTAGTTTGCTTTCAGTTACTTTGTTTTTTTGATGAACTAATATGTTTCCTATTTTGCATTATAATCCCTAAAATTCACTTTACACCAAAAGCCCAGAAAGGTGAAAGGAATCATCCCCCCCTTTTAAAATACTATGATATAGAGTAGCACATATGTAGAATGCAAAAGTCTAGATGTGTAATATACAACATTAGACTATAAGTAATAAAGTTGTTCTGTAGATCGGGGAAAACGCTTAGCTTTAAGAACACTATATTGAGAGAGAAGTAAGATGCTTACTGACATTTAAAGAAGTATCCTAAGATTTCAAGTGAAAAAATGTAACAACAGCTTTTAATTATACTAAGAATAAAATTCAAACTCCTTTTCATGTCCTGCAAATTGACTGTGATCATTCAGATTGTACCTACATGAAAGCACATATTTACTTTATATAGTCTGCATGCAGGACCTTCTGGTATTTCACACTCTATTGATTCTGTCATCTTTTTCTGTTTCCCTGAACCCTCAAGTTGTTCTAGAGCCAAAACATTATCATTTTCTACTTCCTTGCTGGGGACATTTTTGGATGGTTAATTTTTTTTCATCTTTTTCATCTCCATCTCCATCTCCATCTCCATCTCCATCTCCATCTCCATCTCCATCTCCATCTCCATCTCCATCTCCATCTCCATCTCCATCTCCTTCTCCATCTCCTTCTCCTTCTCCATCTCCATCTCCATCTCCATCTCCATCTCCATCTCCATCTCCATCTCCATCTCCATCTCCATCTCCATCTCCATCTCCATCTCCTTCTCCATCTCCTTCTCCATCTCCATCTCCATCTCCATCTCCATCTCCTTCTCCATCTCCATCTCCATCTCCATCTCCTCCTCCTCCTCCTCCTCCTCCTCCTTCTCCTCCTGCTTCTGCCTCTCCTCCTTCTCTTTCTCCTTCTTGCTGCTTTTAAAGTTTTCTCCTTGACAATTTGAATATAAGGTGTCTTGGTGCAATTTCTTTGGGTTTGTCTTATTTTGGGTCATTTGGATGCCACATGGGGGTATAAAAGTGAATAAAAGACACTTCTCCTGCTGGATATTGTGGTGCATACCTGTAACCCCAGCACTCTGGAGGCTGAGACAGGAGTATCATGACGAGTTTGAGGCCAGCCTGGATTAGAAAGTGAGTTCAAGGCTAGCCTGAGCTGCATAGTGAAACTCTTGTCTCAAAAAGACAAAAAGCTAAAACAATATTTCTTACTTAGTTTAGAATTTATGGATGACATATACAACTACAATATGGCATACACTGTAATAGAGTAAGTATAAGACAACTAGCTAAAACATGAGGATTCAAAGGAAACTTGTTAGTGGACAGGACAGAAGAATGGATAGAAGTCAGGTGTAGTGTGGCTGCATTTCTAAAAAGAATGACTTCTGGTTAAGTAAAAGGAACAGTTTACGCTAAGGTTAGAAGAAAAATTAAGTATGCATTACATAACTTCAATTTTGTACTGTAGTTTTAGGTAGTGTGGAAACAAATAAGTAGTGAAAGATGTATTCCAAAAATATGTTATATTAGCAAGAGCTGTAATTGGCTGTGCGGTTTGAAATATACATAGGGACAAGAGACTATTCTTTGCTAAATTATAAATAAGAAAGCAAGAAAATCATATTCAGAGAAGTCACTTTGTACAACGTGGATTAATAATGGTAAAGCAGCCTGAAATAAGGCCAGAAAAATGAAATATCAATGTTTTTCTTTCAGATATCCTCCAATGTAAAATTTTCCCTCAATGTCATTTTATGCCCTTTAAAAAAATATACCTATTTGTGAGACTTGATAATTTCTTACTTTGTCCAAGTCCTTTCTCTATTCTTCTGGTTCTCAATGAGCTCTTGCTTTGGTGGTCCCATGGTATCATCTTTTCATTGAGCTCCTGCCCTCTAAATTCTCCTGAATTATTCTAGTATCCCAGATATGTCTAATTGAAAGCATAGGTTGTTTGTATTTCTTTTATTGGTCAGCTTTTCTCTTGCTAGGAAATTAATACCCAATACCAGAAACTTCAAAAAGTGTAAGATGAATTTGGCTTATGATTTCAGAGGTGTTAATCTATGATTGGCTGCTTCCAAATTGAAATGTCATGGCAGAAGGGTGGGGAAGAACAAAGCTACCTAGTGCAGGGCAGCCTGGAAGCAGAGCACTGGGAGAGAGCGTGAGCAGATGTGCTCACCTGGACTGGGCCCTGGAGACTCCCTTGGACCTGGCCCCACCTCCTGGCAACAGTCAGCTATGGTTAGCAATAGGTAAATAAGCCACTAATGAGTGAAGCCATCCCATGATCCAGTCACCTCTCCAGGTCTCCTTTATTCTGGATTGACAATCCCTTAATCAAATTGACAATTAAGATTAACTGGCACATCTATTTTAGTAAGAACAAAGAAAGCACTTAAGTTTAAATTGGGGGAATATTACCATTTATTCCAACAGATTTATTTTTCATTTATATATACTTTTAAAATATTTCAGGAGCCCAATTTTAACTAGTGAACCTGCTATGTAAAAAAAAAAATACAGTTCTGAGAAATGGCTGCATAACTGTAGCTTCAAATCTTTAGCTCCTACTTTATCTACTAAAGATTCAGTGGAGGGTAATTTAAGATTGGATGTTAGAAAAATGCCTTTGTTTCCTAATTTCCAAAATGTGTACATAACTTCTTTCTTACTTCCTTTTTCTATCTTCTAGTTTCCTCCTTTCCTATGAAAGGAATGAAAGGAGAAAATTGGAAAGATGTATTTATCTGAATTAAAGAGACCACACCGTGTGAGACAGATTAGTTGGACCTTAGCTTGTACTATCACTTTGTGATGTTTAGGGATTTTCTAGCCATGTTGAGGGTCATATGTTCAGTTTTGCTATTCTGAATATAATTAAATCTACATGACAGGATTGCAATGAGGACTCGAGATTACGACTTGTCATGTTGTACTTATAACTGTATTACACATGACACTGATGATCCTCCATGTACAGGAGTTATCACTAGCGGTTTGAGAAAACACACAATATGGAATTTCATATACTTTCAAGTCCTTCCAATTCCCTTTCTTAACATTTGTCCCATTCTTTTTCTTTTCTTTCTTTTCATAGATTAAGTATTTTTATTTTGCATTGTTTCTGCTTTGAGGATTGCAGTATTTTATTCCATATATATATATCCTATGTAGAACTAAATCAGATTTTTTTATAGCATATCAGTATCTATATGCCAGAAGTAGAAAAATGATTAAGATACAGAGTAAATAGAAATATCTCCTTTTCTGTAATAGACATACCATTTTACAAGTAGAACTTTATTATTATATTGCTCTATGTATTTATAATTTACATATATAATATATAAATTGTTAATTGTTATGTTAGTTTTGGGAGTGCTTTGCATTTTTGTATGTATCCATTTTGTATGTGTCCTGTATCTATGATTCTAATTCCCCTATTTCAGTTCATTTATGTCCTTATTATTAAAAAAGTCTTCAGCCTTAAATTATAGTAGTAATTTTTCTAGACTTTTGCATTACTTTAAATTTTTTTCCTTGTTTAAATGTCATATTTTGTAAAGTTTAGCATTTTTTCATGGTGGCAGGTGCTTTTTCTTCTATTTCTTTGATTTATTATAAAAATTCAAAATGGTAGTTTAAGTGTTTATATTTCTTGAAACAAATTCCTCTTCACTTGAAACCTAAGGATTTGTTTTTCTGGTTTTGTTCACAATGTATTCACTTAACATTTAAGTTTATGAGTTATGTTAGTCCATTTTATCTTTTCAGGCAATTAGACATGATAATATTATTTCTATTAATATTATTTCATTTTAAAATTAAAGAAGTTGGTATGGGCAGCTATTTTGAAGAAAAAAAGACCTTATTGTAGTTATTGTTGACTTTCTGCTGTCATGTTTTTAGACCCTGTATTGCTTTCATTGTTCTGTTCTTGTTGGCTTTAATCTGCCTTACTTTATGTGCTTTATTCTCTTTAAAATAAAATATGAAAACATTTAAAAAGTTAAATAAAAGGATTAAAAGCATCAGATTTCAGAATCTTCCAAAGCTTAGAATTATTATTATTAATTTTTATAAGATTGAGTTTCTTTTTTTTCACACACTTATGCTTGATGAATAAGGTGCTATCTTCCCCAAGATTGCTTCTTTTTTAACAGGTGATCAGGTAGTTTGGATTGGATACTATGGCATAGTGTATAACCTGGTGAAAATGTCCTGGGAACTTCAGGGTGATATGGAAGAGGATGGACTTGGAAACATGATTTGGCAAACATTACAAAAAACAAAGGATTATGAGAAAGATGCACGAATCCTGAATGCAATAAATATTGCTCAGGTAAGATTAAAAAATACTTTCTCAATAAATTGGTGCTTATTTTAATGCTTGTCAGTGTCTGTGAAAAAAGGAGTATTCCGGTTCAGTTTTAATGACTCACCACTGAAAATAATATTGTGAAACTTAATATTGACCTATTTTTGTGAGGGCTATCTCTAATGGTGGCTACACTTCAAAGCAGAGGGTTAAGGACTTTGCTATAGTTTAGCTGCTTGTGTGAGGAATCCAGAGATCTGTGCTTACTCTTGAATGTTTCCTCCTTTCCCAAGCTCAGTGGGCAGAAATACCAGGAAACCTAAACAGCCATAGCACAACACTGCTCTAGAAAGCGGTGGTGACCCTAACATCAATGATTTCAACATAATAAATAAACAGGTAAAGATAGAAGTTGCCATTTGATTTGCCCTTTAGTTTGTGGATTTTTTTCTCTCTTTTCAGCCAGTTTTAATAATTACATTTGCAAACAGAACAAGTATCAGGGCTGGGTATTTAGCTCAGCGGCATAAACAGCTGCCTTGCAAGCAGGCAGTGGTGAGTTTGATCCCTGGTACTGATAAAGAAAAAAATGTATCCCCCCTAGCATTTAAAATTACAACTTAAAAGGTTAAATTTACCAACTGGGAGGAACCAATATTGTTCTAATTTTATAATATCATAATTACATAGTAAACAAATATCTCATTTAAAATGTAGACAAAAAATTAATTTTTAATTTTATATTTATGTGACATATACAATAAAATATTTTACATATTAGTGAGAAAGATGTGATGTTCTAATTCATGTATTCATTGTGTAATGTTTAAATCAGATAAAACATATCTATCTTTTCAAACATATCTATCATTTCTTTACAGTGGAGCCATTCAAAATCCTTTCTTCTAGCTTTGTGAAATATGCATCATATTATTGTCATCGATCATCACCCTACTGTGCAACAGCCCCCCAGAATTTGTTGCCACTACATAACTAAAATTTAGCATCTAAACTTTTTCCATCCTTGTTCCACAGCATTAATTTTGTTCCATGAAAAATTCCAGTACATATTTGAGATGCATAATGTATGTGTTTGATTTTATTTATGCTTAAATATTTTAAAATCAATAACAAAATTAAATTGAATATTATAAAACAGTAAAAGTAATAAAATGATAAAACAGGATAAATAAAATGGAAATAAGTTGGAAATTAAAATATGCCTTGATTAATAAATATTAGTAAAAAGTCCATTGTAAAGCTTAGCTTTCTTATTTTGCAGAAATAAGTGCTCAAGCATACTTGCACTACTTGTAGGCAGGAATAGTTACTAAAGATCTCATAGAAGATAACAGTGGTGACTAGGTACCTCCATTCAAAATATCACCTTGCTATGGAGCAGCTAAATCACCTAGGGTGTATGTGTCCTTCAGTTTCCTTTATTAGAAATGAAGTTGATAACAGTACAAAATGTGTAGCAATGTGATGTGTGAGTTAGTATTATAAAGCACTTAAAATTTTTGCAAAAGAAATTTAAAAAGTCACAGTGATAAAAATTGTTGTATTCTGAAATATATTACTTCTTAATGTTTCTAAATTTATGACTTAATATTATGTTACTGTAATGGAACTATAGGATGCAGGAAAATTTGCTTTTACTCAGAAAGTACCAACAGCCAATGTGGATGAATTTCATATGAACAAAGTAAAACAGAACTACAGAATGCTTTGGGGAAATAGTAAGTATAGGCTACTAAGTAAGCTGGTGAATTTTTGTTGTATATGTGCTGATTTCTGTCTGATGCTGCTAAATGGGCAGTCTTTGATTCTTCATGAAACTATTGGAGACACTAGGCTTGAAAACAGATTATTATATTCATGGGGTAAACATGAGGCAAGATTCCCTTATGTTTTTATTCATGTTTCCAAATAGTTTTATATGTGTGTGGTTTTTATAGTATTGAGTCAGTCTTAGATTTGGGAGTAAAAATTACTGAAATTCTATGTGTAAAATAAAGTTCTGATGGTCATTCAATTTTCTGTCTTTGGACTCTGAGGATAGGCAGCCATGCTGATGTATGCCAGTGCTGCAGTCAGCTCTGTCCAGACTGTGGACCTAGCAGGAGGAGTTGGGTTTTGGAAACAGTGACTATCCTTCTCTGGTCTTGTTCTTCTTGGAGATATTTGTCAGTATGCTGAGAAAGCATTCTAATTAGCTCAGGTTAACATGTTTTTTGTTTGTTTGTTTGTTTGTTTTACAGCTTTCTTATTAGCAGTGAATTCACTTTCAAAAATGTCTTAATTTGTATCACAGATTAGTTATCTAGCTTGCTTTTATTGTCTAGTGTTTTTGGCATTAGACAATATAAGTTGCAAATCTGGTCTTATCCACAATAAAGTCTTTTTCCTTAAAGATTTTTTTTTCAAAAAGATTAACATTTTGATTCTTACATTTCTGTAAAAATACAAAAGACTCAGAATAGTGTAAACAACTTTGATAAAGGAACAAAATAGCATATATTTTTAAAATAAATTCTTTTTTCATAATCTTTGATTCTTTTTTTTATTTAAGGAGAAAAAGAGAAAAAAAAGCAGAAAAAGGATACAAGTTATACAGAATTTCAGAAAAGAAAATAAACAATAGGAAATCACTAGTTACTGGATTACATATTGTCATCTTAGAAATATTTGTTCAAGTTACAAAATTAAAGCATATAAAGTGGACATTCAAACAGTAAGACTGCAAACAGTTCTGTTCAATGATCCAACAAAACTCAGTAATATCATTGTCTATCTTATACACTTAAATATACATGCAGTTATATCGTTTAGAGCACTTTCTTTTCCTCTCTTTTGTATAATGACTATTACACATTTTGGGTTTTATTACTCCCACGGTTCTTATTACTTTTTTGGAAGAGAGTAAAACCAAATGTGACATAACAGAGCAGGGTCGGTCAAATCAAAAGGGTGGACATAATAGATAATGTAAAAACATAATACAAGGTGATCAACAATGGTTACCATAATGCCTCCTGCTATCTCAAATAGAATTAGCTATATCATCAGTTCTAATAAAATTGAACAAAACAGTAAAGAACGAAACCAACAAAACCAAAACATGGGAAACATTACAGGTCTTCAAAAGTAGATGACAGTCAACCAGAATGGGTGTCATAATGAATCCCACTATCTTCACAGCTGTTGCCTAAACTTTCGAACCTGGTGCTATCAAGCAAAACAGAATCGAGGAACATCCGTCAAAACAAGATGGTGAGAGCAATACAGGGCTTCAAATCAAGTTAATAGAAAATCAAAGTGGATTACTATAATATATCCTGCTATTTTTTATTTATTTTTCTCTTAATTAAAAGGATAAAAATAAAAAAGTAAATAATAAAATGGAGATTGAGATAAAAGAGGGCATAACAACAAAACAGCGCAGATCAAAACATAACCATTTAAGCAAAATAGTGTTTCACCACAAGATAATCCCAACATAAAAGTAGTTACCATATTGTCTCTTTCCTTGAAATCTTTGAATATAACTTTGTATACTGTAGCATCAAATATATCAAAACAATGTAAAACCATTCAAGAGAATGACAGTATTACAGGGTATTTAGAATCAACTAACAGAAAATGAACAATGGTTTCTCTATAATCTCCTTGTCTATAAAAGTTTTTGTTTATACTATCACATATCATAAAATCTAATAAGATACAGCATGTTAAGACCTATGGAGACAGAAGAACAAAAGCTTGATGGGACTTCAAAGCAAGATGATACTAAATCAGCATTACCTTTTATGATGTCGTTTTCTCCAAAATAGCTGTTCCTACCATCCAGTCTTCTCTGCCTCATTTCTGTTGAGCTCTTTTTCTGTCATTAGTTTTAAGTTTGTCTTCTTCATTTTGTTTTCTGCTCCATTCATTGTGGCCTCCCTGCCACTATTTATGAATTCTTTGTATTTTTCTTTTTTAGAATATCCTGCAGTATTCTCTGTAGAGTTAAATTGGTGGTTGCAAATTCCCCTAGTTCCTCTTTATCCTGGAAGCACCTTGTTTTTCCATCAATTTCCAGGGATAGTTGTGCAGGATATAGCAATCTTGGCTGAAGGTTATTATCTTTCAAAGCTTAAATTATTTCTCCCCATGCTCTTTGTGATTTGATAGTTTTGGCCAAGAAGTCTGCTGTAATTCTGATGGGTGTTCCCTTGTAAGTGATCTGTTTCTTGTCTCTGACAGCTTGTAACATTCTGTTCTTATATTGGATTTCTTGTATTTTGGTTATTATATGCCTGGGTGTAGCTCTGTTTGGGTTGTAGGTGGCTGGGGTCCTACATGCCTTGTACATCTGAGTATCTTTACCTTTTGCTAAATTAGGAAAATTCTCCTGGATTATTTCCACGAGTAGCTTTTGTAGTTCATTTGTTTGTGTCCCTACCTCTTCTTTTATGTTCTTAATTCTTAAGTTATAGATCCTCTTATCATCTTCTAGTCTTTGTATTATTGCTGTTTGTTTCTTTGTTATTTTTAAGAAGTTTTTCATTTCATGCTCCCATATTACAAATCTGCCCTCCAGTTCAGATAATCTATCCTTAGTTTCTTTCAAGCTGTTATGCCAGTTTTCGATAGAGTTTTTAGTTTCCTGGTAATCTTTTTGAACCTGCTTCATGCATTTTATGTTTTCTCTATTTTCTCCATCAAACAATTCTCCCCTCTTTTTCTGTTCTTCCATTCCACCATCTGCTTTTTCGTGGGTGGCGCTTAGCATTTCTCTACTATTCTGCTTACGTCTTGCTTCAGGTCATTAATAACTTCATTCCTGAACTTGTCTATGAGGCTCTGGAGATAGCGCTTTATGTCTATTGGTGCCGTGTCTGCTATTGCCTGTTTCTCAGGATTGGGGGCTGAGGAGCCTTTCTTGTTGCTCCCTCTTCCCATATTCTTTGTTCCTTATATACAAGCGTATATATGAGGCCTAGCTTCCTTCTCTGTCAGCCAAAGTATGTCAGAATTGC